CCACAGGCAAATGGCTTTTTCGTGAATTTGTACCTTTAAGTTGGGTGCCAAAATATAGCACGGGTAATAAAAACCCAGAGACAGATAGATATTGGGGTTCAAGCTGAAGATCAGACAAGCAAAGCAGCCAACCACTAGAGGGTTCTTACCTCTACCAAGGCTGGGGTGACTCTGTCCTCAGCGTGACTGCAGACTGAATACACTGCACTCCTATCTCCACCGCATTATGTTCCTCTCTAGTGCTGGGATTAAAGCCATGCACCACCACCACCCAGCTTCTATGGCTAACTAGTGTGGCTCTGGGAGAAAAGGTGTGTGCCACTGTGGGAAGCCACGCTGGCCACGTTGGCTTTGCCACGTCAGCTTGTTTATTGTTCTTGTATCCTAATCGTCTGCGCATGAACATTGTGACGTTATCCTAAGATGGCTGCTCACCTATCCCGATTGGGTGATGCACAATCGTCCGATGAGACCTAAGCCAATCAGAGGACGCTGCATGTCCACATCATCATGAGTATATAAGCTTGGCGCTCCGTAGGGTCGGGGTCCTTCTTCTCTTTTTCAGTCCTTCTCTCTTTCAGCTTGGAGCTCCCAATAGTGTGCTTGAGAAGAATCCTGTTGTTGTGGTTCTTCCCGCTGGCGGGACGGGCACAACATGCCACCACTGTGTAGCCTATGGGCTGACTAGTGTGGCTAGCTTCACATTTTGATCTTCAGGCAAACTTTATTTGTTAAATGATGTGTTTCGAAACAAGGTTTTGCTGCGTAGCCCTGGTTGATCTGGAACTCACTGTGCATCAAGTTGGCTTGGAACTGACAGCAATCCTTCCATGTCAGCCTGCCTAACAAGTGCTGAAATTACACGTGTGTGCCACCATGCCCACCACTTCAATATAAAGTCTGCGATTCACAAGTGAAATGCTTGGCTTGGGGACAGTAGGTGGAACGGTTCAGGTCTTGGGCAAGAAAATGAGCAGAGTATGAAGGAAGGCAGCAGCAGCCAGGCTGCTTGGGAGGTAGCTGCTTTGACATCTGCATAGATGCTCATGGCACCCATATTAGATGTCTTGGTTTCTGAACAGTTACTTATTTGAACTCCCATCTCCCCTCATCCTCAATGGCAACCACCAGTCTCATTTTGTCTCATTCTGATTATGTAGGTACTGCTCATCCGAGTGTAACCACGTAGTACTCAGACAACTCTCAGAATTTTTTTTTTTTTTTTTTTTTTTTTTTTTGAGATAGGGTTTCCTCTGTGGAGCTTTGGAGCCTGTCCTAGCACTCACTAGGTAGACCAGGCTGGCTTCAAACTCACAGAGATCTGCCTGCATCTGCCTCCAGAGTGCTGGGATTAAAGGCGTGCACCACCGCTGCCTGACTAAGTCTGGAACTTTTAATACTAGCCAGCCATTGCTGAAGGTTATTTGTCTGGTTTCCTTGGTTATTGTACTGTTGCTGACCTGGGGTAAAAACTCAATGTAAGCAAGTTTTGTTTTAAATTTGTATTTCTTTCTGTGGACTGTGGAACTGACAGCGGTATTCTGAAGTAAACCCCACCATTTTGGAGTAGGGGACATTAGCGGACTCTTTGTGTGACATACATGAAGCTCTGGATTTGATCTCCAGCAGCTCAAGATCACCTTCAGCTCTACAGTAAGCTTGAGGCTGCCCATGCTATATGAGGAGGTGTCCTTAAAACAAGAAATAACAACAAGACCCAAAACAAAAGCCTCCAGATGACCCCAACTCCAACAATAGTAATAAAACCCCAACAAGAACAACAAGCAAAATCCCAAACCACTCTTTCATGAGAATAACTTTAAAAATCCCACCTTCTGTTAACCCGAAACTTCTGAACGGAATGTGTTGTTGGAGAAAACATACAGGATCGAGTTGGTGTGACGGTTAGTCTACAATCACAGGGGAAGAGTGTCAATGAAGGGTTGTCTCTATCAGGTTGGTGTGGGTCTATCTATGGGAGATTATCTTAATGACATTGAGAAACATGCTCACCACAGGCGACACCATTTCCTAGGAACTTCATTAGAGAAAGGAAGCAGAGAACTATGCGTGCAATCATCTCTGCTCTTGATTGCAAATGTACTGTGGCAAATTCTCCCAAGCCCCCCCCCCCGCCCCCCCCCCGTATGTAAGTGTACCATGTGCATGTTTGGCGCCCAAGAAGCCCACTGGAGAGGGCACTGGATCCCCTGGAACTGGACTGACAGATGATTGTGAACTGCCATGTGTGTGTTGGGAACTGAGCTCTCAGGTCCTTTGGAAGAGCGTGGTGGCTATCTTGGGCTGTCAACTTGACCACAGCTGGAATTTTGCTCAATTCGAAGTGTGACGATCCATTTCTAATGTGGATCTTCGAGGTAGGAAGACATCTTTAAAATGCAGATCTTTTGAGGTATGGAGACCCGCCTCTGATCTGGGCCAGTCTTTTGCTGGAAACCTATATGATACAAGGGCACAGGAGAGTTTTTGCTTGCTGCCTGCTTGGTTTTGCCTCCCAGCACATCTATTCCTGGCTTTGGAGTCTCCTTAGGATTTCAGCATATACTGAAGAACAGGTAAGACATCCAGCCTTGTGGACGCATCAAGTACTGGATTCTTGGGACTTTCCATTCACAGGCAGCCATTGTTGTATTAGCTGGACCTAATAAATCCCCTTTCTATATACATAGAGAGAGACTCATTCTAAGTTGTTATTCCAGAGAACCCTAACTAATGCAAAGGGCAAGCAAGCACTCTTAAATGTGAGCCATTTCTTCAGCGAAGGACATTTAAACAGTTTTCTTTGCATGACAGTCTTTAATAGCTGATATCGAAGTTATGTCTCTCAAATGAACAAAGTAAAAGTATACTGCATACAGTGATCTATCTGAATATCAATAATTTTCTTACTCTGATAAAACTTGAAATTATGGAAGTGTTTTTGTGGCCCTGGGAAATGGACCTAGGACCCTGTGCACACTGGGCAAGGGCTCTGCCACAGACCCATATCTAATTCCAAGATTATACAATTTTCATGTTTAGTTCTTTCTTCCTTCCTCCCCCTCCCCCCCTTTTTGAGACAGGGTTTCTCTGTGTAGCCCTGGCTCTCCCGGAACATACCCTGTAGACCAGGCTAGCCTCTAACTTTGAGACAGGCCTGCCTCTGCCCCCTGAGTGCAGAGATTAAAGGCACCCCACCACTGCCAGAGTGCGTGTTAGCTTCCTTTGGGAACCATAAACCATGCTTTTCTTTTATGCAGCTCACTCTTTCCTGTGAGACCCAGGGACTAGATCTAATTTTTCAATGCTATTATTGAGCTCAAATCGATCTACTCAGCTGTCAACAGTAATGAAAACAGTGCAGAGGTCCAAATTAAATCCATACACGGATTCAACATTGTTATGAGATACATTAAAGGCCTCAATGCAAAACACTACTTCAGTGTTGAAGTTGTAAGAGACATACTGGCTTGTGGTGGTTGTTTCTGGTATTTGCAACTCAAATACACATATAAAAATTCATGAGGACATACCTGGTTCAAGATCTTTCATGTTTATGTAAGAACCCATACCTCTTGTTACAGTGAGACAGAAACAGCCGAGCTACACTGTTAAGGTTTTCAAGTAATGTTATGTACAGTTTTATTGCCAGTATATGCACAACAGTAAGCATAGAACTATAAATACACAATGTCATTAACAGTAGAAAACAAAACTGTTACAGGTAGGGGAGGGGATATGGAGCAATACCCTTTTACTTGCTGCTGGAACAGAATAAAAACAAAGGAAGGGAAAAGCCTACAACCATCCATCCGTCCAGTTCTCTTGGCATACGCTCTTTACATACATTTCTACATTCTTTTCAGTTGAACAAAGAATAGATAACTCTGTAACAATAGCGAACTCCTTCCCTAACAGCCATTTGCTTTCCGGTCAAATTCACCTTATGTTAGGATTAAAAAAAAAAAAAAAAGGTCAAGATGTATCCTGGTTCCAAATTTCCTACTTTGGTGCTTTACTCAAACTGGTAATATCTGAAAGTTGGCTGCACATAAAAACAATAGCTTTAGCAGAGGTGAGTTAAAAAAAAAAAATGTTAAATGGTAACGAAACAAACATCACCTTAAAGTAGTTTTCCAAGACACTGCAGGCAGCGGGTCAGTGAGGTGTCAACCCTGAAGAGGTAGAAAGTGTGAGCCCATTGTACACGAGCCGCGGCACCGTCTTCTCTCTCATCAGGGTCAGGGTTTTCATAAGACAATTTCATGGTCAAAGGAAACCAGGTTCCACCACTCAACAGAAGGTCCTGGTTGACTCCCATGTCAATAATTAGTTTATCAATTGAGAAACAGAAGACAGTCAAAGACACACATGCACTTGATTTTTTTTCATCTGTTTCCATTATCAAGTCTATTCATAAGTGAATTTGATATTAATAAATACAACAAAAAGCATCATTCACAACAAAGATAAACCAAAAAGCTCTGCAACAAAACCTTCCATTTTAGTAATTCCCATGGAAACCCAGGCAGGTGATTTGGTGCAGCTTTCTAACGGGGTCAGAAGGGGCACGGCTTTAAATAAAGGTGGCAAGATCAAGAACCAACAGACACCATCAGTCTTACAGACATGGCTGATTCTATGACATTTCTCTTTGAGGGCATCTCAAAGAAGTCGCAGCTAACGACATGTACCACTGTCACATCAACAGAGTCTGGCTGGAGTTCCAAGTAGCCCTGCTTTGTCTCACATCATTGTCAACATCTCTAGCATAGGACATGATACGGAACAAAACTCAAAGTAGCAATAAAAATATTCTCCTGCAATTGAACAGAGGCAAAAAAATGTTTAGTCTGTTACACTTTTAAAGCCTGAAGCATTCCTGTTTAACCAGCATTTAAAAAAAAAATTTATACAATCATAACACTGGCAAAGGTTAATGGGAAGACAAAGAAGTAAAAACGTGAAATGGTGAATTAGATTAAAAAATTCCTTTGTAGACTGATCAACTGATGTTAATACTGCTTTTCCTGAATTTGGAATAACTATCATAAAGTTACATGCAGACTGAGGACATCCTCTGTCACAGAAAATACAGAACGGAATAAAACAGAAAACTATATAGAACTGGGAAACGGTAGCTTAGTCCCAAAAGCTGTACTTGAGAGTTTCCTTTCTTTGAGGAGGGTGGGCAGTTGTCTGTTCCGAGACCTGCAGCACTAACTTTGTCCAGAAACATCAGTAGTGGGATCAGCTCCTGCAGAGCCTGTCTGTGCACGTTTGATGTAAAGGTTCAGCAGCTTCATCTGTGGACCAGAGCCATACAAGCCACATGAGAAAACTGCTCTAATTACAATAATACATTCAGTAAGAAATTGCACGTGCGCACACGCACGCATGTGCATGCATGTGTGCGCACACGCACACACACATACACAAGATCTGAAAGATAGATATTTTTGGGGACAGGGTCTCTTATAGCCATGGTGTCCTCAAATTTGGTATGTGCCTGAGAATGACCTTGAATGTCTGACCCCACATTTCCATCTAGACCCTAGGTGTGCACCATTATGTTCAGTTTATGTGGTGCTGGGGTCTGAATCCAGGGCTTTGAGTGTGTTAGGCAAGCTGTTTACAACTGAGCCGCATGTCTTACCCATATGTCTACTTTTACTTTGTCTTTTTGCAACTTAATATATATATTTGTCCACAGTAATAATTGTTGGGATTTGGGAAAACTCTAAATGAAGGTAAATGCCTCCAGTTAGCTGCACTAGCTAAAATTCAACCATCATGGTCCATAAGAAAAAGTTTCAAAGCTCGGTAGGATTAATACATTAAGAAAAATAACCTTTACTTAAATTTTTAAGTCTTGCAGATGAATTACCAAGTCAAAGTTGCATGGTAATCGGGATCACGGTACAGCCACGGTAGGAGCTAGTGGGGTGGGAGTCCACACCTGTAATCTCAGAACCTTCAAGGCAAAGACAAAAGGACTCCTGCAAAGCCAAAGTCAGCTGGCACTGTAGAATCTTAGGAAGATTCAGTCTTCTAGCGCATCCCCCAAACCAGAACAAGCGAAACAAGAAAGCTTGGAGAGAAAAGTACAGTATCTGACTGTCTTTCTGTCTGCTTTTGGAAGCAATCTGGAGCTGTAGTGTAGCCTGGCCTGGAGTTTGCTATGTACCCTAGACTGGCCTCCAAGCAACGACTCTCACAACTTGAAATGGAAGGCCAGGATGCACAGAAGCAGAGTAGCAACACAAGCTGTTTCCTAGTGTCCTAAGCTTTGGAACTACAGACAACAGTTTAAGAAAACACCCTGACAGATGGTGATGGCAGACTCCAAACAAAAAAGGGTCCAGGGCTCTCTCTCTCTCTCTCTCTCTCTTTTGGTGACTTAGCTTTGTGCTAAGAGGTAAAAGCAGCAATGTGTACCTAAGTATGCCAGGCTGATTTATGGGCATATAGTGAAGCCAAAGAAAGGATTGGTGAAGTCTAGTGTTTACTTATCAGTTTAGAAAATGTGGGTGACAGATGCAGAAAATAACAGGGGCTAGGGTGGGTATCTTGAAAAAGTATGGTAAGATTGAACCACAATGTTAGGATAGAATAGAAGAAGGGGAGAATTTGCTTTTCTGAATTATGATCATGAGACAGTTTGATGGGAGATGTCATTCTGTAAATATGTTTCTCTTATTGGTTAATGAATAAAACACTGTTGGCAAATAGGAATGCAAGGTAGGCGGGACTAGGAGACAAGGAGGATTCTGGGAGATGTAGTAGTGGGGAGAGTCAAGATGTAGGGACTTGAGAAAAGAAGTCTGGACCCTCTCTCTGGTAAGATAAGACCACGTGGAAACACTTAAATTAATAGAAATGGGTTAATATTTAAGACAGAGCAAGCCAATAAGAAATGCTAGTAACAGGCCAATAGCGTCTATGTGTGTTACTTGGGACTGATGCAGCTCTGGGTCCAGGCTGGTGGGAAAACTGCTGGTAACAACAGTTGGTAAAAATTATGCACAAAAATACTGATGTGTACAAACTGTAAGTGCAAAGGACCTTTCTAAGTAAGAAGAGGTCCTGCTGGATCACAAAGAGGTCCTGGAGGTGGATCTGGGTACTTAGGGGTTGAGGAGGCCACTTTGGAGGTATAGGTAATTTTGGCCATGGTGGGAAGGAATTTCAGTGGATAGGAAGCTACAATGATGGAGGTGATTGTGGCCACTATTAGTGGTCCTGGTTATAGAAACAGAGGAGGCTACGGTAGTGATAGACAGCATAAAGTTCTTCTGGTTGTTATAATTATGGTGGTGGTGGTAACTCTGATCAGTATTGGCCAGCAACCATTGAACTATGGACCACGATGGGGGTGGTGTTGGTGGAGGACACTCTGGCACTGCTCAAGGTAGTAGACAGGGTAGCAGGTTTAAAAGACAGCAAAGTTCTTGGCAGGAAAGAGGAAGCTTTGCAGGGCAGGTGGCCTTGAGACAGCCCTCCCACACAGATGATAAGGCATAAAAACACGGCAGGAAACAGCCATGGCCAACATCAGCAGCAGGAAACCCTTCTGCAGATGCCACAGTGCAGCCACTGACCGATCAGGTACAAAATCCCGAGACCTTTCTTTCACAAAAGGCTCTTTCCTTCCCTCTCACTGGGCCACGCATGCAGCAGCGGCACCAGAATCAAATGAGAAACAAGCTGGGCGTGGTGGTGTCACCTCTGATCCCAGCACTTGGAGGCAGAGGTAGGCGGGGCAGCTCTGAGTTCCAGGCCAGCTAGGATTACATGGTCAAGACTTTGTCTTAGAAAACAGACTGGGGGGGGGGGGGGAGAAGAAAAAATAAAAAAAATTAAGAAACTTAAAAGACAGACAAATAAAGCAAGTGATTCTTGCTCAGCCTCTGGGGTGCTAGGATCACAGGCCTGAAGCGGTTTTAACCACATTTTCAAGGGCATTTGTTAAGAACTTCAAGTGTTCCACATTTCGGGAGATATAATTTGTGAATTAACTACAACAACCTGTTCTTAACTAAACTGTTATGGAAGATTGGTTGAAGATGTGTTACATTTGTTTACGCTGTGGAACATTTGTTTTAACGGTGGAAAGCTGTGCTGCATTCTTTTACGTTGCATTTGTCTAACTGTGTGAAGCTGTGTCACTGTGCCTGCCTGAAACACCTGATTGGTCTAATAAAGAGGCCAGTGGTCAACAGCTGGCCAGGAGAAAGGATAGGTGGGGCTGGCAGGCAGAGAGAACATGTAGGAGAAGAAATATGAGAGAGAGAAGGGGAAGGAAGGGGAAGGAGAGGATGGCTCCAGGGGCCAGCCACCCAGCTTAGGGCAAGCCACAGAGTAAAGAAAGTACACAGACAGTAAAAGAAGTAAAGAGAGGTGTATAGAAAGGTAAAATCCCAGAGGCAAAAGGTAGTCAGGATAGAAAGAAGCCACGCTCAGGTTAGGCATTCACGAGTAAGACTAAGTGTCTGTGTACTTATTTGGGAGCTGGGCGGAGGGTCGGGGTGTAAGTGTGCTGGGAGACTGTCGGCTGTATCCCCACAGCAGCCTCCTGACCGTACCGCCTCTGTTGGTGTTAGTAACCGCAGTACGGACGGTAGGAACAGAGAAGAGCTAGAAGGCAGCTGGAGGGATAAAGGCCAAGTGAAAGCTCAGAACTAGTTACTAAAAGCCGGGTAGCAAGCTCACCACCTACTACACAGAGAACTAAGTCTGGGACTCATCATGGCTGCTACCCGACTGCCAGCCTCAGTGCTACTTACTTTACTGCCAGTGAGTTGACTGAGGTGTGGCTTGAGTTCATCACCAATCACCGCATGGACGGCTACCAGGCAGAAGACACAAGCTTTCCGGACACTGCTTTCTGAATTATCGTAACCCTAGGAAGAGAGGCCGTGTTAGTGTCTCTGATGGTTTAAGAAAGTCACCTCAGGGACAGAGGAGCTCTCATATGAACCTCACCTGTGCCAGCCCTCCCCCACAGGCAGGACTGATGCAGCTGTCCTCTACCCCACGCCACACCCCACCAGCCGCCCGTGTTCTCCACATGTCCTTTCTTTAGGATCCACTTTGCAGACATCCCCAGGGAACCTCCGTAGAGCATGCAGCTCAGAGGCAGTGCAGCCCTCCACACCATCTAATGAGGATGCTGTGGTTTGCCAGTCAAGGTCTTCCCGTAACCCAGGCCTAGCATGTTCCACATGTCTCCCTCTTTAAATAACCTTCTCAAATAAGTCCAGTCTAGATAATGCACTTTTGTTAAGTTTGGACATACCCTTTATTCTCTCCCAATAGTCCACAGAAATCCTATTCATGAGTACTAAATCAATTACCTGAATATAAGTAAACACTTTACCAAGAGTCCATCCCCACTAAAGTCACATCTTTTCTAAAATGACTGAAAACATAAAATACCAGGCATTATCCTTTTGAAAGAAATTCATAATAAAAGATGTAACTTTTCAGTTTTACCATCTCTATAAGATTATAAATTAATTTTTAACCATTTAGCACAATCCTAATTTCACTACTCTTTAGTACTGTAAATTTAGGCTTGATTTCTGTGCTGTGAATGAACCCAGGGCTTTTAGTATGAAGGGAAAATACTCTAGCACTAAACTGCACACTCAAGCCTAAATGCTCAAGTTTACTTCTGCTGACTTTTCCAATTACAAGTAACACTCCGATACTGCTATATTTAACAGTCAGATACTGTGAAGGGCTTGCTATGTAACCAGGATAGGTCAGGCTAACAGCGCTTGTCACTGTCCAGTGAGATACAACGGATCCTTGTGGAAGACTTACTGAAAGCCATGGCCGGGAGAGAGCAGGGTAGGAAACCGATAGTCAGAAAATACTTCACAACACAATCTAGAGGAGGACGCTGGTTGGGACAATAAACTAGGGTGGTATGGAGTAGAGATGGAGCTCAGTTGGTAGTGTGCTTGTCTAGGTCACACAAGGCCTTGGGTTTGATCCCCAGCAGGAGGTAAAGGCAGGAAGACCACAAGTTCAAGGTTACCCTATGCTATATAGCAGATTCAAGGCCAGTCTGGGCTATATAAAATTCATTCTAAAAAGTAAGGACAAGGAACTGGAGAGCTGGCTCAGTGGTTAAGAGCACTAGCAAAGGACCAACCACATGGCAGCTCATAATCATCTGTAACTCCAGTTGCAGAGAACCCAATGCTCTCTGTAGGCTCTGCTGAAACTGCACGTGCAGACATAATACAAGCAAATATCCATACACATAAAATAAAAATACATCTCAAAAGATAAAAAGGACAAAAGGGAATGAGGGCTAAATGTACCAGAGAGAGAGAGAGAGAGAGAGAGAGAGAGAGAGAGAGAGAGAGAGAGCGCATGACTTCATAAACAACCTAGCACTTCCTATGTATGAATAAATTCACTCATTAAAGGAGAACACATAAAATAGGAGGGCTTTAACCCCAGTAATTGGGAGGCTGAAGCAGGCATATCTCTGAGTTCTTGGCCAGCCTGATATACACATGGAGTTCTAGGTCAAAAACCAAAACAGGAACAGGCTAAGTAGGAGGATGAGGAAGGCAGGACCAGCTGGAGATCTACATGAGATACAGCTCATTTGGGTTGTGGAAACTGTGAAGGAGCTTGAGAGGTATTATATCAGAGCTGTACTTAGGAGGTCAGTCTCTGAGACCCAGCTTAATCTGGTTTGTATTCGCTTCCCGCTGCTGTGTAACAATTACCAAAACCCTTAAACCTCAAATCCCCCTGTTTTAAGGTCTTGGCATGTCAATCTGTCTCCATTTCCTGTCTGTGCTATGTGAAATCCCCTCTGCCTCTCCTATTTATAAGCACCTATGACAGCAGTTAGGGAGCATTGAAAAAACCCAGGGCTGCCTCATCCCAACACACCTAACTTGTCACATCTGCACACATTACTCACAGAAGGTAACACAAGTTACATAAAGCAGAATTTGGCATCCTTGTGACAACTATTCAGACTAGTACACTACCTATCCATTTTCCCTTTTCATTAAAAAGTAATTTTTACTTTTACGTATATGGGTGTTTTGTCTGCATGTATGACTGCATCACATTCATGTGTGACCTGTGGAAGGCACTCAATCCCTGGAGCTGGTATAAGAGATGGTTGTGAATGCTAGGAGTCAGACCCAGGACCTCTTGCTAGTACTAGTAACTGCTGGACCCATAGCTCCAGACCCACATTTCCATTCCTGAATTGCTGAGGCAAGGCCTTGGTATACCATCTGCACTGTCCTTAAAGTCAAGGTACGCTTGTTTCAGCTTCCTAAGTCTTGAAATTACGGGTAAGTGCCACTACCTCTGGTTCCTCTATCCATTTCCCTGGGCTTCTTTATTTTTCTATTTTTAGTTATTGTTTTAAAGATTTATGACTTTATTTTTAATCTTGTATGGTGTGTGTGGCAGGGTGCTGTGGAGGCCAGAAGTGTCAGATTGTTTGGAGCTGGAGTTCAAAAAGGCTGTAAGTCCTCTTTGTTGATATACTGGCATTATGCTGACAACAGGCAGGATAGCACACCAGCATTCAGGCAGATACTTAGACAGCTCAAAGGGCCCTGTGTTGTGTGGTCATGCATTGGGAGGGTGCACAAGGACAGCATGTGCGAGCTTTCCCTCTTAAGTGAGTGCCTCCCACCTGTTTGCCCCTTCTGCCAACTTCCCCTTCCTTCTCTGTCCCTGGTTAGACAACACCTACCCCTCCCTTTGTTTCCTCTCCCCAGTAAACTCCACACCGGTCTCGTGGCTCATGTTCCATCGCCTGCAGCTGCAGCAAAACAACAACACTCTTGACAAGCAATATCCATCTCTTTAGCAACTGGGCAATCTCTCTAGCCCTGGGTTTTGTTTTACTTTTTGTTGTTGTTGTTTTTTTTCGAGACAGGGCTTCTCTGTGTATTGTAAGAGATAGCTAGTAATAAGTCTGAGCCATTTGCTAAACAATTATAATTAATATCAAGCCTCTGAGAGATTATTTTATAAGTAGCTGCAGGGTAGGGTGGGACACAGAAAAGATTACTGTCACATCTGGTGCCTACTGTTAGGCACTGGTTGTCCTGGAACTCACACTTAGACCAGACTAGCCTCTGCATCCTGAGTACTAGGATTAAAGGAATGTGCCATCACCACCACCACCCCATAAACCCTGTCATTTTTTTGAGATAGGGTTCCACTTATAGCTCTGACTGGCCTAACACTATGTAGAAGAGGCTGGCCTCACAGAGACTCACCTACCCCCTGAGTACCAGGATTAATTGTATAGCTGTAGCACGAGTTCTAATAGATCTTAATAATAAAAACCTAGAGTCAGATATTGGGGTAAATGTTGAAAGGTCAGAGAAGTAAAGGAGCCAGCCACAAGAGATAATTCTGTCCCTATGAGTTTTCAGACTGAATGTCCTGAGATCTGTTACCTCTTGCCTCATACTTTCTGCCCAGCCACATCATCCCTGCTCTACCTCCCTAGAACTGGGATTAAAGGTGTGAGTAAAACCCTGTCTCACAAGACAAGAAACAAACAAGAGAACCCAGAGCCACAGGAACTCTCAGCATATGCAAGGCTTCATCCAGGAAACATTAATTCAGCATGCATAACATATGAAGAATATGCACCATGAACATGTTGTGCTTATTACCAAAGCATATGTAATAGCCCTGCATAAACACAGTGAGTTAACAAAGTTCAGGGAAAAGTCACATATAAACTACTATAGATGCAAAGAAATGATGCTCAGCCACTAAAACTATACTGTACAATATTAACAAAGTTTTACAGTATGTGATTATGTTGCAAAATATAATCTCACTTTTGCTAAAATGTTTAGATGCGTGGGTGGAAAGAAACAGTCATAGTCATAATGTATCTATGGATATTAATCAGTATAACTACCTTTCAGATAGATGTGGCAACAGGTTTCTGCTTCTAGACTGCAATAGTTACAGTAATAAAAAGCAGGAGAAAAATGTAGAATTCAAACATTCAGCAATGAATGGATAGTTAAGCAAATGTAAATTCCTAAATGATGGAGTGAGATTCTAACATTACGAAATTAATGAACTCCCAAAACATTAGGTAAGAGGACAAATATTTATGTTTCTCACATATATAGAAAAATCTACAAAAATTAAGTTCAGGGACAACAGAATAGAGATTACTGGGGACTGGGAGGGAAGTTTTGAGAAATAGATTTTATTGCCTTGTACAAAATGATAGTCTGGAATGATGGGGATGTTCTAGCAATGGACAGCAGTGACGGTTATGAAACACTACAAATGGATTCAAGAATACCAGATCATGTACTTAAGAGATTGCTTAGTTATGTTATATTTTGGGTACCACACCTAAATACCACCTACCTATATCTACAATGTAAATCTCTGTCTTGACCATGCCACTAGTGTTGCTTGAAAACACTATACAATAACCAAAGCACACATGCATCCTGCTATACTCCTCCATGCTTTGCAGCTTACCTGTATTAGGCCTGGCATGATCTCTGGTAAGAGCAGGTTAAGGGTTTCCTTGGATACTCTCTCTATCACTTTTGTTTGCATTTTGATTGCAGCCAGATTAATTGGGTAGTCAGCAGTTTGTATGATTGGACAAAGCACTTTGATGCACTGCTCTGGACTAATTGAAGTAGCCAACACAGAGGCAGCTTCTTCAGCAGACCTCACCACCTAAAACAAAAGGGAAAGCCAGGCAGGTAAACAAACAAACAAACAACTGTAAACCCTAAGCAAGAATTTCATCAAGCATTTAATTTGACATGATACTTTGGATTTGCACTGCAAATACTGCAGTAAACAAATACAAGGGAGGTAAGAACAGACTAGCAAGTACCAGTAGCTGCCACTGGGCTTCACTTTGTCATTCTCCTTACTCCCAGTTCTTTTACTTGGCAAAAGTAGTTTCATGACTGTAAGCATTCATTTATTTTGCTTTACTTCATGTCACGGTGATGTAAGTGGTACAAGCACTCCTTGAATGTAGGGTGCTGATGAGGATTTGTAGGGAGAGGGAATGTCATTAACATGAAGTGAGGAGAGAGATTTCCATGACTTTTAAGAAGGCTGATTTGCAGGGGCTAGAAAGATGGCTCAGAGGTTAAGAACACTGACTGCTCTTCCCAGAGGTCCTGAGTTCAATTCCCAGCACCCACATGGTGGCCCACAGCCATCTATAATGAGATCTGGTGTCCTCTTCAGGCCTGCAGGCATACATGCAGACAGAACACTGTATACATAATAAGTAAATCTTAAAAAAATCTTAAAAAAAAAAAGGCTGTTTTTATTGCCTTACTGAATAAACCTGCAACAGACACAGCTCCTCAACAGTGAATCAACATTCACACTTAAAAAATGACAATTTGTTATCTTCACCTGTTACGTAAACAGTAAATTCTTATTGCTAAGTGAAATGCAGGCTGGTGAATTCTAATTAGAAAGTGAAGAGCAAAATGGAGAAAGTGAGCCTGGATGGATCACCGAGGACCTATTCTATGGGACTGGTCTTGTTATCCATGTATTACATGAGATGAGCATATGCTCACACTTGTGTGTGAAGGCCAGAGCCAGGTGTCATTCCTCAGAAGGTACCTACCCTATTCTAAAATAAAACTGTAAATTTCAGTGTTCTGTGTGTGTATGCCTGAATGCATGTGTGTGTATGCCTTGATGGATATGAAAGTCAGAGGACAATTTTCAGGAATCGGTTCTTTCTTTCCATCATGTGAGTAAAACTCATATCATAAGCCTTGGCAGCAAGCGCTTTTATCTTGCCCGCCCCCAAGCAGTTTCTGTAAAAAGAGTTTCTCATTAGTATGAGATTGCCTATTCGGCTAGGGTGGCTGGTCATCCAGCCCCAGCGGCCTGCTTGTTCTCTAACCGACTTTCCAGGGTTAGACTCACACCAGCGCACTGGCTTTTTTCTGTAGGTTAGGGGACTGAACTCAGGTTCTCACCCTTTTGTAATAAGTACTCTACTGACTAACTTACGTGCCCGGCCCCATGCTTACATCTTAATCAAGCATTGTATCAAAAATCTAGTGTTTATGAAGGAAATGATTAAGAAGGGCCCTGTAAGCAGGAAATGTTAGCTCACATCTGCCGTCCCATACTTACAAGATTGAGGCAAGGGGGGGGGGGGGGCGTTGAGAGTTTGAGGCCAGCTGGACTACACAGTGAGTTTCAGGCAAAACCAAGGTGCGATATAAGACTAAGTGTAGGGAAGGACACAAGAAGGTGGTTCAGTGGGTACAGTGCCTGCCATACAAGCCTGGCGACCTGAGTTCAATTCCCAGAAGGCACATAAAGGTGGGAGGAAAGAACTGAGCGTATGCTCACATACACAAAAAATAAAAGGAAGCCTCACCCGCCGGAGACAGTCCTTTCTGGGAGTGCTTACACGTTCATGAGACAGTCACGAGCCACAGTAGCTGAGCTTGCTGGCCACTCACCTCTTTATGGGGGTCTTTATGTGCTTCCAGGGTTTTCATGACAGTCAGCTCTGCATAGTTTTTGAATCTTGCTGGTTGATGCCTTAAGATTTCTTTTAAAACTTTTAATGCCAAAGCCCTGATTGTAGGCTAAGAAGAAACGTTTAAGTGGTTTTAATATTTTGGATGGTACAAAAATCTTCCCACATTTTCAACTTCCTATAAGCGTGTTAAGACGGGGAAGGGGCAGGGTATAAAGAGTGTAGTACACAGCTTACGTCTGCAGTGAAAACTCTTTATTCACTCTCCCTTTTGCTGTGTTTGGGAGACAGGCTGGGCTCCAGTAGCCCAAGCTGGCCCCAAGCTGTAACTCTGCTGCTTTCACACCCGGAATGGAGACACTGCAGGTGCCTTCAGAGGACAGAAACATGGGCCCTGCTGGAGCTGGAGTTACAGGTGGGCTGTGAGCGGGTCACTACCAGGGGTTTGGCGTTCAGTACAGGTCCTCTTCAGGAGCATTAAACACTCTGAACTGCTTAGCCACCGCTCCAGCCCCATACCCAGATTTTTTTTTTTTTTAAATGATTTTAGTCTTTCTAGGCTTAAGACCGTATTATCAGAGTTTGAGAGAAAAAAAAAAACAAAACAAAACAGGACAGATAGCCCGGCGATGGTGGCACACGCCTTTAATCCCAGCACTTAGGAGGCAGAGGCAAGTGGATAGCTGTGAGTTCGAGACCAACCTGGTCTACAGAGCTAGTTCCAAGACAGCCTCCAAAACCAGAGAGAAACCCTGTCTTGAACCCCCTCCCAAAAAACAAAAACACCCCCCCAAACAAAAACCAGGACAGATAAGTTAAAATTCCGGAAGCTGAGGAAAGGAGACCATGACTTTTGAGAGAAGCATACAGGGTAGAGGGTTCCCTCAAGGCCCAGAGTGTCAGGGCTGACAACCAAAGAGGAGGAGGAAAAGGGGAAGTCGTGCTTTCACAGTTAAAATTCAGAAAGCACAGGTTCTGCGATGAAGACCTGCAGACAACTGCTTGGTAGCTGGTTCTAGACAGGGTCTACCTGTTGCCCAAACTTGCAGTGGTCCTCTAACTCAGCCTTCCAAATGCCCAGCTTTACTACTTTTAAGTAAGTAAATAGTAACATTTTGACTACGAAAGGAATTTTCACAACTGAAGCATCCCCTCTCCCCCCTCCCCACACCACCAAGACAGAGTGTCACTGTGTAGTCCTGGACTCACTCTGTAGAGCATGCTGGCCTCAGACTCACAGAGTTTAATCCCAAGTGCTGGGTTTAAAGGTGTGCACTATCACGGCCCAGCTCTGAAAAGGATTTCAATATATTCAAGTAATCTTTACTTTTCCATGGGAATCAGCTTGCTAGGTGTATCTCCTTTAACTATTGGAAACTTCATAAAATTTTTTGAAACAAAAATCTGTTAAAAGAAATAGCACTTGAGTAAAAATTAGATGCAGAAATCAGCAGCAGAACAGAGTCATCTGTCTATTTCCAATGTGTACTAGCTGGTCAACAGGAAAGCTAAACAAGCAAGGGCTGGAAAAGCCCTGGGGTAATTCCTAGTCCTCCACCTGCCAAGCCAAATAAGAATAAAGACATAAACACTCAGACAGGACAGAATTTCATTTATATATACCCTGCAATTTACCTCTTTATCCCCAAGGGTCTCAAGCAGTAACAATAATATTGTTTTGAAGTGTTCATCCCAAACACTGAAAGATTCTTCCTGGGTTAGCTTCATGAGTTCATAGAGGGCAATTTTTCTTTCTTCTATACGTTCATTGTGGTTAGACAGCTCTTTCAACAGCTCTGCAACTAGGTCAGAATGGTCTAAGGAGAGATCTGTCGGAAGGATTTAATATTAACTTTGTAATCTTATAGGCTAGCTCTCAGGTGCAGAAATGAGCACTTTAGAACACTATAAAACACAGCCACAACCAATATTGGTTACAAAAGAGATAAAAACAAACATTAATTTTCAGTTGTCAACCCTGAATCACCAATGTGCTTTAAACATTTACAAATTAAAAACAACAACAACAACAACCAAACCAAACCAAAGCAACAACTCTAGAGAGCAGTGTTAAGGGGCCCCAGGTGTCTTCTCACCCAGACCTCAGCAGGAGTAAAGCATTCCCACACCCCCATACCCAATCCCACCCTCAGGTCTCCTAGTTACTGTCCTTCAGGTAGCACCTGCCAGGAGACTCTGTGTTTGCAGATTCTACTTTCAGTGACTTAGGTAGTCACAACTTGATCACTGGGAACTCCTCGGGCAATATTTCAACAGTGGGCTGATCCACTGACTGCTGTTAAAGCAATTAATTTAAGGAGTTAAAAATGTTCATTATCACCAGCAGTGGTGGCACATGACATCTGCTCAGGAGGCAGAGACAGGTAGATCTCTTGTGAGTTAGAGGCCAGCCTGGTCTACAGAGAGAGTTCTAGGACAGGCTCCAAAGCTCCAGAGAAACCCTGCTTCAAAAAAAAGTTCATTATCTAATCATGTCATTCTTTCCAAGGTCCACAATTTTTCAGCAAAGTAACTGTATCAATTAGAGCTATTTCTTTATTTCTAATATCCATCCCTCCATCCATAAATGATCTTACTATGTATTTCTGCCTGCCCTTGAACTTACTTTATCGGTAAGCTGGTCTTGAACTCAAGAGCTCTACTTGCCTCTGCTTCATGAGTGCTGGAATTAAAAGCGTGTACCACCATGCCTGGCTAATGTAATTTCCTTTATGTTTCACAGTCAAGTTGAGATCAATTGTTATTAAAGAGGAGTTGGGTTTTAGTTATGGATTTTTATTTAAGTGCTTGTGTGCATATGCCCCACATGTGTAAATGCCTTCAAAGGTCAGAAGAGGGCATCAGACCCCTTGGAACTGGAATTACAGGTGATTGTGAGCTGCCTGACCTAGGTACTGGGGACCACACTTGGGTCCTCAGCAAGAGCATCAAGTGATCTTCATAGCTGAACCATGTCTCCAATCTTACTGTAGAGTTGATTTGTTTTTGCTCTCTTTTAAATACGTATTTAGAGATGAGGTCTTCAAAGGCATGCATCACTATGCCTGGTTCTTTTTTTTTTTCTTTTTTCTTAATGTGTTTTTTTTTTTTAAACTGTGTGTATGTGTACCACAGTATATACATGGAAGTCAGAGAACATCTTGCAGGAGTTAGTTCTCTCCTTCTATCATGTGGGTTCCAAGGACTGAACATAGGTTTCCATACTTGGTGGCAAAATGCCTTTCCTACTAAGTCTTATGTCTGGCACTGACAGGGATTTAAGTTTACCACAGAAAGTCATAAAGAACTGGAACTTTTAAAATTTTTTTTTTCATGTGTTTGAGGGTTTTGCCTGTGCGTGTGCAAATGTATCATGCGCAAGGCTGGTGCTCCCAGAGATCAGAAGAGTGTATCATATCCCCTGGAACTGGAGTTATGAATGGTTATGAACCACCATATGGGTGCTAGGAACTGAATTCAGGTCCTTTCCAAGAGTAGCAAATACTCTAACCCTGTATTGGAAATCTTTAAAGAAAGTAACATGTACTTATAGGAATAAAAATCTGGGCTGAGGAGATGGCTCAGCCATTCAGAGTACTGGCTACTGCCAGGCAGTGGTGGCACACACCTTTGATCCCAGCACCCAGGAGTCAGTCAGAGGCAGCAGATCTCTGAGTTCAATGCCAGTCTGGTCTAGAGGGTGAGTTCTAGAAGAGCCAGGGCTACATAGAGAAACCCTGTCATGAAAAACCTAAAGCAAGCAAACAACAACAAAGAGCACTGGCTGTTCTTCCAGAGGATCTGGGTCCAATTCCCAGCACCCACATGGCATCTTACAATTGTCTATAACTCCAGTTCTAGGGCATCTGGCACCCTCACACAGACATAAAGCAGGCAAAACACCAATACACATAAAAATATAAGAAAGTCTTTAAAAATGTATACAAAACACAAGAAAACAAACGCTTAATAGTTCTCATTGCCATGACTTTCTCGTCATGATGGTCTGTATTCTGAAACTGTAAGCCTTTCTTAAGGGGCTTTAGTCAAGTATTTTGACCCAATGATAAGTAACAAACACACATTCCCATTCCCCATTTCCTTAACATTTTAAAGAGTTACAATAAGAGAGTAAACACATCCGCTTGTTTCACTGATTACCAGTCTTCCAAAGTGCAAGTGGTAGGCCCTGTAACCCATGACATACCGTCAGGAAACTGGTCAGCGTCATCATCAAACATGGCTTCTTTGAGAGCAGACTTGTTGAAGGGACTGATGCTATCGGAATAGTTATATGGATTATAGTCACGAGATCGTGAAGAGGAGTGAAGTGGCATTGAATGGAGTAGAGATGCTTTATTATCAAGAGCTGTCTGGCTGGAGTCAGTAGCATCACCTCCTGCTCGTGGATCTGACATCCCAGGACCACACATCTATTGATAAGAAGAGGAAGGTATTGCAAGTTATCTTGTCTTAAAATACCTCATTCACATTCTGCTTCTTGGGGATAGGAGAGATGACGTGGCAGTTAAGAGTGTTTCTTGCTCTTCCAGAGGATGTGAATTCAGTTCTCAGCCTCTACACTGGGTGACTTCCAACTACCTGTAACACGAGTTCCAGGAGATATAATGCCCGCTGAAGACACCCAACAGTGCATATATTCACGGACATATAGGAATAAAACTAGTTTAAAAATAAAAAAGTTGGGTGATGGTGGCACATGCCTTTAATCCCAGCACTTGGGAGGCAGTGGCAGGTGGAACTCTGAGTTCGAGGCCAGCCTGGTCTATGGTGCGATTACCAGGACAGGCTCCAAAGCTACACAAAGAAACCTTGTCTCAAAAAACCAAACAAAAAAAAAAAAAACCAAACAAAAACAAAACAAAACACAGATGCTTCCCTTCTGTTTAAGGGGCTGTTTACAAATAGTAACAATAGGACTGGAGAGATGGTTCAGCAGGTATGAGTATGTGCTACCTTGTAGAGGAAGCAGGTTTAGCTCCCTGTAACTGCAGAGCAGCTCACAACCATCTAACAGTAGAACAGATGCCTTTTCTGGTCTCTGTGGACCAGATTGCATGCATGTGGTGCAAATACATATAGGCAAAACACTCATAAACATAAATAAATAAACAAATAAGTAAATATTTTTCTAAAAAAAAGAGAAAAGGTAAGGGTATAGAGAGACGGCTCAGTGGTTAAGAGCACAAGCTGCTCTTCTAGAAGACTCTAGTTCAGTTCCCAGCACCCACATGGTGGCTCAGAGGCTCCGGGAGGCTTCTGCAAGCACAGCATGCACATGGTGCACAGGTGTATGGGTAGGGAAAACACTATATACTTAAAATAATAAATTAAAAAAACAAACACAGGTAACAATAATTTAAAAGGAAATTAATGGCTGACAGTATGGGTTACAATAGATATTCAAATATATTGTATAAACATATAACATAATATATATTCAAAATGAAAAAGCTTAAAAAAAGATGTAAAGAAACCATAGCGGAGAGGCAAATAAGTCATCACAAATGTTGCCTCCAATGAAGTTATTCTTGCCAATGGCTCAACCAAGTAAAATAATACTGAGATTAGCAACAGCTTCTCCATGCCAGCTAAAGACACAAAAGACTTTCATTAGCAAAACATAGTTGAAGATTTATCTCGGTGCTAAGAGGGCTTGCCCATCACATTCAAGGCTCTGAATTCAATCCCAGCAATGAAACAAACAATAACAATAATAAATTATCTTTAAAATCTGGCACACTATACTATCTTTGAATATGAACTATTATTACAAAGCATCCTTCAGCCTATGTTTCTATGCCTTTCTCCTCCTAAAGGACAGTTTAAAGGCCAATATAATTTTCAGATGGATGCTAACAGAGTTGGGATACATTAACACCTTTACCCAACACTCAATATTAATACAAATACTACCATCAACATTATTATCACCAGAAGTATCACAATCATCAGCATCTGGTTGCCGGGAAGTCTACACATACCCTTCGTCCTTCATCCGGCCTGTGTGTCCAGTCCAAGCCAAGCACTGCTTCTGGCACTACTTGAGGCACCACCTTGGTTATGGAATATTTGCATCATTGAAGCAGTGACTTACTAACCTTTGGCACTACATACAGCTTTAGGATAGGGAAGCTCACACCTGGGTGGTTTTGACAACTGTTTCTATTACTCACTGCTACTGAGCTCTACCAGACAGGTATTAAGGAATACCAAGTGAGGGAAAAGGTAGGTGGGAAGTTAGTCCTTCAGAGATGTGCAGAAATGCTGTGGCTCTGAGGACACTGAGCAACAGGAATGAAGAGATGGCTTATTTCAACAGTCAAGTATAAGCAGATGCAAAAGTAAAGCCTAACTACTGATGTACCATAGCACAGGAAACCAGTTAAAACAGTATTTATATGTCGGGATGTAGGTTATAACAGCTCAGTGGGGACCACATAAACTGATGATGCAGACTACTATTACTACAATTAGTATGGGGAAAAACATAAACTTCCATTCCTAAACTCATGCGCTAAGACACATAGCCTAGTATGCTCAAGGCCCAGGCCAATGATAACCCATGTTCTGTGACCAAAGTTCCACACTTCCTTCCTTCCCTTCGTCCTTCCTTCCTCCCTCTTTTTAAAAAGATTTATTTATTTATTTTATGCATATACTGCTCTCCCTGCATGCCAGAAGAGGGCGCCAGATCTCATTATAGATGGCAGTGAGCCACCATGTGGGTGCTGGGAATTGAACCCAGGACCTCTGGAAGAGCTGCCAGTGCTCTGAACTGCTGAGCCAACTCTCTCACTCCACTTCTTTACTTCTTAATGCTCCAACTACACCAGCTTTCTACCAAATCCTCAACTACATAAGTTGGTTCCTAGCTAACCCTGTATTGCCTAATCAGTTCACAGAATTTTTTTCTATATTTTGTGGTTTTTAAGTCTCAGTACAAATGTCATTTGGCAGAGGTCTCCATTTCATGACCCCATAGTCTAATATGTATATTCACCTTCCCCTATAGCACAATCCAACCCAAAGCTCCACAGTACACATCTCTACTTAGAAATCTAAAAGGAACAATAGGAAGAAACTCTGCCTTACAGATCTAATACCTAAAACTTGCTAATATGTAGGTCAATGATACTTACTTAGTAAATGCTCAGAGTTATTGCCTGCTAAGAAATTATATGTGAAAGTGCCAGAAAGCAAAGTTTAAAATAAACAAACAAAACGACCTCCCTCCCCGGACCCCACTTCGATGGAAACCAAAGCAGTGTGCTGCAGTGTAAGAACACTCACACAGGAGGGACTCGGTGTGTTAGGAATGGTGGTAACAGACGGTAAAAACATGCAGACACTTACCGTGTCACCATCCTCTTTTTTAGGATCCCTCTTCAGTGGTTCACTCATGTCTTCTTGGCTTCTGAAGCTGAAATTCTGGATTGCCTCAGTGACACCTCTAAGGGAGCTGTAAATGTCTTCAGAGTTCATGTTTTCTGTGTCGTAATCAAATGCACTGCGAAAAAGATGGTACTAATTTTTACTTATTCTCTGTTTGGTTTGATTTTTATATCTATGTGTATGAGTGTTCTGCCTACATGTATACATGTGGACCATATGTGTGCAGACCCCTTGGAGGTCAGAAGAAGGCATCAGATCTCCTGGAAGTGGAGTTAACAGATAGCTGTGAGCCATCAAGTGGGTGCTGGGACCTAAACCCAGGTCCTCTCTCATAAAGTGCTTTTAACTACAGAGCATCTCTCCAGTATCTGTTTTTGAGGGTCTCACTCTGTGGCTCAGGCTAGTCTTTTTTGTTTGTTTGTTTGTTTTTGGGGACAGGGTTTCTCTGTGTACCTTTGTAGACCAGGCTGGCTTAGAACTCACAGAGATCCACCTGCCTCTGCCTCTGGAGTGTTGGGATTAAAGGCGTGTGCCACCACCACCAGGGGCTTGGGCTAGTCTTAAACACACTGTAATCCTCAATCCTCCTCAAAGTGCTAGATTTAGAGGTGTAAGATACCACAGTTGGCTATTAATTTTCAGTTATATTTTTAGAATACAAACAGGCTGGCTGTGGAGGAACACACCTGTAATGCCAGCACTTGGGGAGTAGAAGGAGGGTTAGGGGTTCAGGACATCCTCTACTACATAGAAGGTTGAAGATTAGCCTGGTCTAAACCTGACCCTGATGAAATAAATACATTAGAGGATATTGTAGAAGATATTTATAAAGATATGAATCATCTAACTTTATTTTTTTAAAATAAAAACTTTCTCTGTAACCCAAACTTTGCTAGAACTCTCTCTGTAGCCAAACCAGGCCTCAACTCAAGAGTCTCCTGCCTTCACTTACAGAGTTCTGAAATTATAGGCAAGAACCAATATGGCCAGCTACTACTGAACTCACAGGGATCCTCCTAGTTCTGCATCCTGAGTGCTGGGATTAAAGGGTGGGCCACCTAGGCTGATCTTAGTATTACAATTATTTTGCATGTATGTGCAGGTCAAAAACAACTTTTGGAAACTGATTCTTTCTTTCCACATATGGATCCTGGGAACCAAGCTCAGGTCATCTGACATTTTGCAGCACTGAACTTTTACCCACTGAGCCATCTTACCAACACAGCTTACATTTTTAAATTATTTTTTTATCCTCCCTCCCCACCCCCAGACAGGGTTTCCTCTGTGTAGCCTTGGCTGTCTTGGAACTAGCTCTGTAGACCAACCTGATCTCGAAATCACAGAGATTTGCCTGTCTCTGATTCTCGAGTGTTGGGATTAAAGGCGTGCACCACCACCACTGCCCAGCTCTAAAAAATTTTGTTATTACATGTGAATATTACACACAATTCAAGTTTCAGAACATATAAATACAATTTCACTGGAGCAGTCTGTGACTGTTTTGGAAGCATAACAGCAGAGCTGACTAAAGGTTACAGATCACTTGGCTTGAAAGCCTAAATTATTGGCCAATCTGGCCCTTTATAGAAAGCTTCCCAGTCCTTGTAATTAGCAAAAAGTAACAGGACTAGCTGAAGAAGAAACATAGTTGTGGATGAGTGTAGTCATTCTTAGCATTCAGAACTAAAGGCAGAAGAACAGGGGTCCACAGCCGTCCACTGCCAGGCGGAGGCCAGCCTGAGCAGCCAGGCATTCCAGTCTCTGAGAACAGTCCTTGGTGGAGAAATGTACTTCACCTATTTACAGTTCCTGCCCATTATTTTGCAAAATACCCCTTGGGAAATAAACAACAAAGGTAAAGGTAAAATGAAAAGGCAGGGCGTATTTTGAAATAAAAGCACGTATTATAGTGTGTGTTTGCGTGGGAGTGGGGGCACCAGAGCGTCCAGAGCACGCACGTGGAGCTCAGAGGAAAACTGTGGAGTCAGTTCTCACCCTTACGTCACATGGTGACCTGAGGACGGACTCAGGTAGTCAGGCTTTTTCACCGAGACCACTTATCTCCTGAGTATCTATCTATCTTTCTCTGCAGATTGTTTCGAGGTTTGAACTCACTGAACATAAATATTAATGACATGAATTCTATAATCAAGCTCAAAATACAACTAAAGCTTGAATTTACCCAGCAAAATTGTCACAAATGTTAAGATATAGTTAGGTGGTAAGTTCCAATACATTTCCTTCCTTAAACTCTGATGTAGCACCCTGTGATTTTAATGGATAATCTGATGAAGCAAGCCATGGTGTATGACCAATAACAAAACCCAGGCCGGCAATTCTAATGAGAGATTAAGAATCATTTTGCAAAATGCCAGCAAAAGGGGCTTGGTGGCTACTGACTATAATGAATCAAGGATTTAATCTGGGGCTGGTAAGATGGTCTATTGGGTGAAGGTGCTTGTTGAGCATGCCTGGTCACCTCACTGGATCCCTGGAACCCACAGAGGAGGAAGAAAATCAACTCCCGAAGGTTGTCCCCTGATCTCCATATGCAACCCTTGGACCATGTGCGCTTGCATTCACACACACACACACACACACACACACACACACACACACACACACACACACACACACATCCAATTAAAAAAGAGAAAAAGGAGAATTTAATCTCAAATATACCGATGCTTGAACTATGTGTGTAAAAATTTTACCTAACTTATTTTGTATTTAGGAGCAATATCTCAGTCACATCTTGCCATGTAAGTATAATAATGCCATTATGTACTCATAATATATTTACCTCTTCCCTGTTACTTTCTCTTTATGCTCTGTCTATAATATAAGCCCAAGTCCCTCCTGACCTTTCAGAAGTGACTCATCAGTATTCTATCTACTACCGTAACGGATACTGCCATTTATATTAAATAGTGTAAAAGAAATGTAACAATACCTTTTCATTCTGTATATCAGCATTTAAAGGGTTGGATTTTATATACCATTAAAGTTGTTTGAATCTGCTTAGTTTCTAAGGCATTTCAAGTCAAATACTGTCTACTGGGATTACAGTTACGCCTCCTTTCTAAGAATGGAAACTGGAAACACAAACCGTGAATGAAAACAATCATGTTACCTTGGAGATAATGTATTCTGTGATGTGTTGGTAGGAGAAGTAAGAGGACTGGACCAGTTGGCTGGTGATCGAGGTGTTGGTCTTGTCAAAGGACTCCCCATGGAACTCTTGATGGTGGCAGTAAAAAGAGTATTAACACAGGAAAATGCAACTAAAAGGTCCTCAGGGGAGAGGCACAGTCATGAGAGAGGACATTGTGCAAGCGCCATCTTTGTCAGCACCCTAAATACCCATGCCCTACCCACCTCTTCAGCCTTCTCCCTCACTTCCTTACCTGCCCTCCTCTCTATCACCCCCTCCAGCTTCCGGAGAGACTCATGTGCCCTTGACTAGCCTTGAACTTACTACATTCCCAAGAATGACCTCAAACTTTCGATCCTTCGGCCTCCAGCTGTGTATCACCATGCCCATTTGTTTTTAACCGGCTTATCTTACATATGTTATTAACATTTTTTCCATTAAGGATTTAACATGATCTTAATTTTTTTTTTTTTAGACAGAGTCTCATTAAGTAGCCCTGGCTGGTCTGGAACTCAATATATGGGTCAGGCTGGTCTCACAAAGACCTGTCTGCCTCTGCTCCTATTTAAAAAAAAAAATCAACTTTCTGTTCTTAGCTTATTAACCCTTCCTACTTCATTGACAATTTGATTTAATTCCTTCTGAGTCTTTTAGAAATGATTTTCATACAGACACCAAGAAAGTAAAATCTGGTCATGTTATTTGTCTTTTTCCTTCAGTTAATAGTCTTTCCAATTAAGAAGAGAAGGGACTGGTTCACAAGACATTACTCCCAGAGAAACTCTGACCCAGGAGCTAGTGCATGTTGGCAGTCAAGGAAAAGAGCACACACTTGAAACTGCAAGTTGCTCACAGATGCTGCACTAAGAGCAGAGAGTGAGTGCAGCCTTACAGCAGGGTGTGGGGATAGCTAACTAAAGCAGCTAAGGGGTGGACCAGGGCTCTGGGACAGTGACTGCAGGCGGCTTCCACACCTCTAGCCCTTGGGGAATATGTGTAAGGCACTATTGCTCGTTCATATATTCATGTGTCAAATGCAGCTAATTCTAACAGACTAAGTAAAGAGAGCGTCTAAGAAGGCCTCCACCTCTTTCAGGAAGGAGAACCCAGACCATTTGGAAGACTAGGTGTTAACTGCATGTGGGAGCCACGAGGAACAAAGAGTTCAATAGAATTATCGATTGAGACCCCTGCAAGGTCAGAAGGTAGTCAGAAGGCAGTAACATCCAGCAAGTGACCAACACCTAGAAGACAGTCAGGTCAATAGTAGACCCAGAGGAGGCTTCAACCATGTGCCATTAGTGTATGTTCACCTTTCTGGTTAGGCTGGGGGAACATACAATACTACATGGGTCCTCTATTACTGGTCCACAATATCTGTGAGAACTAGCCAATTTCACAGCCATTACTCCAGTCCAGATCGGTCCATTGTCTGCCATGGCCCCACAAAAGCCTACACGAACAAGTGTGACGCCATTTTTCTTCTCCTGGAAACCTTTCTGTCTCTCAGGAGATCCTCTCTCTTCTCTGTAACTCTTTTTAAGAAAGCTTGCTTTTGCTTTGCATGCTCCTTCCAGCGTCTGCATCTGGAATCTTCATCTCATGAAACAAGGTGTAGTCAATGCCATGGCAATCTTTGGTGAGTTCAGCATCAGAGTTCAGCATCCTAGGTCCCTGAGCCATGTACAACTGGGTTGTGAAATGTCTTGCCACACTCAAAAATCTTGCATCACTGTCAACCCTGAAACTCTTCTTAAGCCTGGCATCAGGTACATCTGTATCAAATTTCCCTCTTTTAAAACGTCACTCAATCTTTTATGTAAATTACACCTAATTTCACTAGAATGAACATTTAGTCAGACTTTCTTCCTCAGAACAAAATCCTGAATATTCATACCCAGAGGCCAACAAGCCTATAATCCTTTAGTGTGATTCTGTTCAAACTTACCTGTTAACTTAGGATGAGTTACTCTTGCTGGTGCTCAGTCATGGACTGGCTTCTCTGAAGGGCAAAGGGCAGGCATGCCCTAAAGTTCTAACACCTTCAGAGCTGGGACCCTCAGACACACTCTGCTCATATAAGTCTTTCCTTCCAAGTTGGCCACTGCTAACTACTACCCCAATGAACACAAATTATAATACAAACAGGATGGTTCAAGGGACACTAACTAGTCTTCCAAAGGCAATATTTAATCTTACTCAGGAAATATTTCCAAATGCAGATGTATAAATCATATAGTAAGTTAAGTCAATTCAATACAAAAGAAAGCAATCATTGTTAACCCAGTCATAAGATCGTACGTACAACAGGCACGGAAACAAATGAGAAATACCTGGGTCCCGTTGCCAGTGTTTCGAAGGTGATTATGAAGAAGTTTAGTAGCACCATCTTGGAAAGTTTTTGGTAAAGCTCCTAGTAACATTGTAAACTCCGGGGTATTGAGTTCAAATAAAGAAATCAGCACTGACTGTGCTGCCTGAAAGAAACAAAGACATACAAAAAGCAGGTGAATGCATTCTGGCTACTTGAAGGTGGGTGGCCATTTTCTTATGTTCCTGTTCAACAGCTCAAGGCTTGCCTACCTCTCCCATAGAAAAGGAAAGCATCAACTTTCCCCGATTCTTTTTTGGGGAGTACAAAAACACTCTCAACTACCATTTATTTTCTGAAGTTAAGAATGGACTATAAAAGTGTAACAGATGACAAAACTTTACAGGGTTATTCTGTCAACAAATACTACTGTTTCAGTTTTCCGACTTTCTCAGTGTGAGAGTTCTGTCTATTTATTTAGAAGATGGCCTTTTTAAAGGAGTACTGGGGAGACAGGTGCAAATGCGTACACAGCAGCAGACAATAGAGGGTTAGAGGGTAGGAATGGCAGGAGGAGGGAAGCAAGGGGACCCAGTAAACATGAAAATGCATAGGGACAGCTGCTACTTTAAAATAAAGCCAGGTAAGAAGGGGGAAACAACAACAACAACAACAATCAACCAACCAACCAAACGAACAAAACAAGCCAGTGCTGGGCTAAAGGTGTGTGCCGCCATGCTGGCCTGTGCTTTATTCTCCATTCTCAATTACAAACTCGTGTTTGCTTCAGGTTTGCTTTGACTCACTGTCTCATGGTGCTTTGATTGTATAAATGCTTTAAAATATTTGTTTTTATTATAAGCTCTGAATTAGTTACTTTCACAAAATACCCGACAAAAGATTTATTTTGGCTCACAGCTTGAGGGGATAGTTCATTTGTGTAGAAAAGGCTTGGTATGTGGGAGCATGAGGCAGCCGGTCACAACACATTTACAGTTGGTGTGCAAATTTCTTTTGAGAAAGGGTCTCACTCTAGTTTTGGCTGGTCTGAAACTCACTATGTAGACCTGCCTTTACATTCTGAGTTGTTGGGACTAAAGGTGTGTGCCAGACTAGCTTCCTATTTTATCCATCATCATCATCATCATCACCGTCAGTGTATGAGTGTTTTGTCTGTATGTATGTCTGTGTATCGTGAGTTCCATCCCAGATAGATTCAGCTGTATCTCTAGGTTTTATTGTGCCATGTCTTCACTTAAACGCATTTCCCCTGCCGCTTTTTGTGATATGTGCATGTGTTTGTGTTCATGCATGTATTGTGTTCATGTATGTTCATGTATGCAGTTGTGCATACATATGTACATGTGCTAAATAAAGTATGTTCAAATGTGAGGTCAAAAGTCAGTTTAGCTTCCAATTCTGAGATCTGCCTCTTGGGTGCTGGGATTAAAGGTGTGCACTACAATCCCTAACTATCCTTTAGTTTTTGAGACCAGGTCTCTCACTGAGCTAGGAGCTCAATGACTGAGACATATTAGCTAGCCAGTAAATCCCAGAAATTCTATTTTATCTGCTCCTTCCCAGCTCTGAGATTACAGGCATGTACTACCATGCCTGGCTTTTTAAGAAAAATAATGTAGATGCTAGGAATATAAACTCTAGTTCTCATGCTTGCACGGCAAGTACTTTACCAATAGAACCATTTCCCTAGCATAAAGACCAGTACTTTTGAGTCTACAGACAATGCCAGCCACAAGTCCTTCGCAGAAATGATAAAAATATTAACATATACTAACAAGATGTGTTTACAAGTTCAGTCAAGCTGGGCATGGTGGCCCACGCCAGCATTCTTGGTACTTTGGAGGACTAGGAGTCCAAGGTCATCTACTACAGAGTGAATTCCAGACTAGCTCGGGTGATAAAAGACTGTCTCAAAAAAAATCATAACTCGAGGACATGAAAAGACAGACAATTAACTGTAAGACAAAACTCAATGATATGAAAAGCAAGGCAGACATTAAGAGTAGACTTCTTTAAGGAAAGATGCAGTAGCAAACTCCTTGGTACAAGAGTGAGGACTTGCAAAACAAAACAAAACAAATGGTAAATCTCCACATTACCAAGAACTGATTCTTCAGTACAATAAAGATTATAGGGACCGACTGAACAGGATATGGGAAAAGCATAGGGGAAGCCAACTGCTCACTTATGATGAAATAAATATAACACTTGAATCAGAAAAGACACAAGAAAAAAAAATTATCTCCTGATCCCACTCAAACATACCTTTCGAACATCAGAGCTTTTGGGCTCCGTCGTCCAAGTGATGACCCGAGACACTGCCAGGCGAGTTTCACTGGAATTTATAAAATCTCCCGGATCCATCTGCTTGGCCAGAGTTTCTATGTACTTAAGGATAGCAACCTTCACCTGCAGGGGACAGCACAATGAAAGAGGTCAGCAAGATGGACTCTCTAGACTGGGCAATGCATCAGGAGTAACCACCATTAGTTTCTGCCAAGAGAAGCAGAAACAACAAACCTCAAATGAATGACGCATCTACTTACCCACCTGATATGAGGTGAGGTTTTCTGTTCTCATATGCATTACAACTGTTAGCACTCCACTCCCAGAGTGTGAACTACTGTTAGCACTCCACTCCCAGAGTGTGAACAATTGTTGAAGATTTTCTTAACAAACTGTAATCCACCCCCAGGAATCTGCTTTCAGAGTGTATAGGTGGCTAGTCTTACACAGTCATTTCTTCTTGAAGAAATTGCCAAAGTGTTAGGTGATAGGGTATTACAAGACAAGCCTGTAATCACAGCAGGTAACACAACAGTCTATTTATTTATATTTAAGGTAGGGTTTTCTAGCCCAGGGTGGTCTCATATGCACTGTACAGCCGAGAATGACCTTGAACTTCTCTAATTCTCCTGCCTCTGCCTCCTGAGTAGTTTGTAAGGTGCTGGCACAAGTACTCCTCAGGTGAGTCTCACCCCCAGCACTTCCAATTAACTCTTTCAAGTAAGGTGCATGAAAGGCAGCTGTGGGGTGGGAGATAGAGCTATTTCTAAGGCACACATGCTTTTTTCTAGACTCAGCCACTTTAAACTCTTCTAATGAGCAATTGATAAATTATATCATTCCTCTCCAGTATTCTAGTGGAAATAAACAGGCCGAGAGTCCTTGCTTCTGGTCACAGACTGCAACATTCTTTTAGTTTCTAAATGACAGTTCCCTCAGGCGGGGGTTGCTTATTTTATTTGATTATCTTTAAGGATTACTCTTATGTGTATGAGTATTTGCCTCCATGCCTGTGTGCCTGGTGCCCTTGGAGGTCAGAAGATGGTCAGATCCCTTGGAATTGAAGGCTGTAGAGTTTGTGTGCTGCCCTGTGTGGGTGCTGGCAACGGAGCCCACGTTCTCCCTGAGAGCAATAAGCACTTTTCACCACCAAGTCACCTCTCCAGCCTCTGGGATCCGCTATCTTTGAAAGTTATCGTTACCATCAGCGTTATTTGCCTTCTGGGGGATCAAGTCTATGGCCTTGCAAATGTCAGGTGAGCACTCTGACACAGATTTACATCCATAGGCCCACAGATGATCTTTGAAAAAAAGTTTCTTTTGCACTGTGTGTGTATGTGTTCACATGTGTGAGCATTTTCATGTGTGAACATACGTAAGTCAGATGTTGACACCGAATGTTTGCCTCATTCCCTATCCACCTACATACTGAAGTAGGATCTCTTGCTGATTTGAGTAGTCTAGCTAGTCAGCCCGTCCCAGCGACCCCTTATCTCTTCTGCCTCTTGACTACTGGGGAAACAGGTGTGGGGCTACCATGCCTTCTTGTAGTTTTGCTTTGTTTTTTTTTTTTTTTTTTATTTCATTTATTTATTTCTTTTTTCGAGACAAAGTCTTAGTATGTCCAGTTGTCTTGGAACTCTGTGTAGACCAGGCTGGACTTGAACTCAGAGATCCATTTACCACTGCCTCCCACATGCTGGGATTAAAGGCATTTACAACCATGCAATGCAAGTAATGCAGTTTTAAAATGTTTTCACAAAATAGCTGTGTTAGCTATAATAAGCAAGTAACCACAGAAACATATTCATTGGAACACTCCCATTTTAGTAAGATACCTCAAAAAGTCATGAATTCTACCTCTAATGATGTAACTATACATTCCATTTCAAAGAACAAAACAATATAGTTGGCAAAGGCATTTATAATCAGTCCTTCAGTGTATTTATCAAGCTGGAAAAACTGTTCAGGAAAAAACCCACAAGTACAAAGGGGTCAAGACCAGGCTGGGGAAACCCACGAAACAGCTAACCTGAGCAAGGGGGAGCTCATCAACCCCAGACTGACAGCTGGGAAATCAGCACAGGACTGAACCAGGGTCCCTGAACGTGGGTGTCAGTTAGGAGGCCTGTGCAAGTCTAAGGGGCCTTTGGTAATGGATCAGTATTTATCCTTAGTGTAGGAATGGACTTTGGGAGCCCACTCCCCAAAGGGGGATACTCTCTCAGCCTAGACACATCGGGGAGGGCACAGGTCCTGTCTCAAATGACGTGACAGACTTTGATGATCCCCCATGAAGGCCTCACCTTTCTTGAGGAGCAGAAAGGGGATGGGTTGGGGGGGGAGGGTTCACGAGGGGGTATAGGAGGGTGGAAGGGAGAGGAACTGGGATGTATATGTAAAATAAGATTGTTTCTAATTTAAATAAAAAAAAAAGCCCCACAAGTATGCCAATAATTCAATAAAAACCACTTTCTATTGTTCTTTGGTCCACTGCTATTTCCTTTCTTTTAAAAATATTTATTTACTACTTTAACTTATTTTAAGTTTTCTAGCTATTGTTATTATTATTTGGAGACAGGGTCTCTCTATGTAGTCCTGGCTCTTTTGGCCCTTTCCATGTAGAGCAGGCTGGCCTCCAACTCACAGAGACCCCATCCTCTGTCTCCCCAGTGCTGGATTAAGGTGTGCATCATACTCAGCAGCCTGTTAAAATTTTTTAAAGATTTATCTTAAGAAGTTTTATGTATGTGCTTCTGTGTGATTGTATGTCTAGAGGCCAAAAGAGGACAGCACTGGATCTGGGTCCCTTGGCTGAAATTACAGGTGTTGGCAGGATGGCCAACTTGTTACCGGGTACAGAGGTTCAAGTTCTAGTTGTTGGAGACAACTGCTCTGAACCACTGAGCCATCTTTCCAGCTTGTTAAGTTCTTATGATTTAAAAAATGTTTTACCTGCGCGTGTGGCAAGTATGAGCAGTTGCCAGAGGAGGCCAATGAATCCCCTAAACTGGTGTTACAGGCATTTATGAGCTGCCTGACCTGGATGCTGGGAGCCAAGCTCCAGTCTCCTGAACGTAAGTATTGAGCCATCTCTTCAGCATCCTCACCTCTGACTAAGCTCTTTATATTTAATCCTGTCACCCACATACAAGCTGTTCTCACTTGGGTATGAAGTATGATACCAATATACTTACTCCTGTTGTCTACACTATAACAAATAAGCCCTCTTTTAGCTTTGCAACCGACTGTACTGATACTTACATCAAACATAGAAGAGCAGCTCTGGTCCCACAGGAAGCTCCTTTTACTTCATCTGCTTCCCACATCCCTGTTTCCCTTACTTGTCTTTCATTTTAGGTCTTCAGCAACTTAATTCTTCCCTCACATTACCTGTCTCTTTTGGGGTTTGAGAGTTACTGCTTCATAGCTTATGATAACCTAGAACCCTTTGTGTAGCCATATTGACAAATCACTGGTTACTGCCTGCCTCAGCATCTCATGTGGTGGGATCAGAGGCCTATGCCACTACACGTGATTCGTGTTTCTGAAGATGGCTTCAGGGCTCATTCACACACGCATACAAGTTATCTTCACTTATAGCTTCAACAGCCACCGAGAATCCACCACGTAACAGCATCATCTCCTTTATCATCGTTTAGTTTATCAAGTAGTATAAGTAACAATGATAAAAAATCCAAAGCTTTCTATTCTCAGGAATGTCTTGGCTATAGTATGAGCTACAATGTGTGTGTTAATATGGAAAAAAAAAATCCTTCTTCTGCAGGTAACTTTTCAAAATAAAAACAGAGAGGCCCTTTTTACCTCTTGGCTCTGAGAAAATGACATTCCAGTGAGTGTAAGTCAACCCTGTTAGAAACATAATCGTGATTCTGAGGCACAACTGCATTCAAAGAGAAAATCAATCTTGGGTAGTAAGGCATTCATTTGTGCAGAATAGAGCAGAAGCTACAAGGCTTGTATGACCAGTATGCTTCTTATTTCCCTAACCTTAATCTCAATGTCTACCGCTCAAAAAAAAAAAAAAAAAAAAAAAAGCATTCCATCAATTAAGTTATATCCTAGACACAGCCATTTCATTTCTTATGTTAAAACTTAATCATTTTAAATCAGAAATCAGAATCTATCTATTTTTCACACAACTGGAAAATGTGTCCAAATGGAAACTGAGGAAGTTGTCTTCATACAAACTTTATGCTAGTTTGAGAAATTTCACATTGCAGAAAATGTTATTTCAAATAGGAAGAATGAACTGAGATTAAACTTGAAGTATCCTTTCCTTACTAAAGTAAGCAATTAGCCAATGCTATGTTTTGTTCCAAATACAAGACTAAAAACTACACTAAGGAAAAAAAAAAAAAAAAAAAGTATTGGGAAATCACAAACATACAATTAAGTAAGATTTTACAAAGTAACTCTGCATTACCAGCTTAGGGTTAGACGGCCATACTTTGTGATGCTTTTACAACGTATTTATACAGAGAGCTTTTTCCAAATATAGGTCAAGCCTCTGGAGAACAGCTGATGTCAAGTACATGCATGCAGAAAAGGCTTAAGAAGGTGAGTAGTTAAATACAGATGCATAAAACATCATCTCAAATAGTGCAGAGTTATAAAGAGAAATAATGCAGGCTAAAATGAAAACAAAAGAAAAACCTTTGAGCTCCAAAAAGAGTGAAGCTGGTCCTGGAGGGCTGGCTTGACTGTCTGCAAAGTTTACAAAAATAAAACCCACTGATTGAGCAGCTTCTTGTGTGACAACAATTACAAATATTACCATAACTTTATTAGTAAAATACTATAATTCCTTGTAATGGACTCGGAAGAAATCAAATTTTTACCTTCAAGCTTGGTGTTTGGGTCTGGTCAACTGTAAATCTCATTAGGATATTAAATTGAAGATCATTTGGAAAAGATTCTCTGAAAAAAGAATGAAGAAAAGACAGTTAAAAAACAAAATAAGTGGGGCTGGAGAGAAGGCTCAGAGTTTAAGAGCACTGGCTGCTCTTCCAGAGGTCATGAGTTCAATTCCCAGCAACCACTTGGTGGCTCACAACCATCTGTAATGAGATCTGGTGCCCTCTTCTGCCATGTAGTACAGGCCTACATGCAGACAGAACACTGTATACATAATAAATAAATAAATCTTAAAAAACAAACAAACAAAAAGCAACCAACCTCCCCAAAATCAAGTCGATAAGCATATATTTTAACAAATTCCAGAACAAAAGACTACATTTAGTACCCAAACACCATGCCACTCAAAGTATGTATGAATTTATAGGTGAAATGTTACAGTCTATGAAGCACAGTCTAAGAATAAAGGTATTTGAACTTACAGCCAGTAAAGTGTTCAGAAACAAAAGCAGGTAAGAGTACCTTGCTTGTCTCACTATGTATATAATTAGGAAACTGTAGTCAGTAACGGTTCAAACTTCTGGTCCTGAGAGATGACTCAGTGGTTAAAAGCACACAGACTGCTCTTACGGCAGAACGGAGTTTAACTCCTAGCACCTACATGGCGGCTCACAACCACCTCTTACCCCAGCTGCACAGGACCCCTCATCCCACTGAGAGTGGTGGCCCACACCTTTAATCTCAATGCTCAGGAGGCAGAGGTGAGCAGATCTCTGTGAATTTGAGGCCAGTCTGGTCTACAGATCCAGGCCAGCCAGAGCTACATACTGAGACCCTGTCTCAAAAAAATCACCACCAAAAAAAGAAAAAACAAACAAACAAACAAAAAAACCCCAAACCAAAACCAAGCAAACAAACAAACAAAAAAAAAAAAAAAAAAAAAAAAAAACCCTGAATTCCAGATTTCAACTTAGTATATGGGTGTGTGAAATAAGTCACTTCGACAGTAAGATCAAAGAGCTAGAAACCTACCACTGGCTTAAAGCCTTCTGCAAGGAGACTGTCTAATGGCATAATAAAATTCTATTTACAAAGGAATAGCTTTTAATTTCACACAAGATCATATTAACCTTCAATTCAGTTTACACATACATTTACAGTTGTTTTTTTACCAAAGGGCCAAGACATACTTATACATTAAAAATTTTTTCTTTAGTTGGTCATGGCGGCACATGCCTTTAGTCCCAGCACTCAAGAGACAAAGGCAGGTGGATTCTGTGAGTTTAAGGCCAGTAGAGTCTACAGAGTTCTAGGACAGCCAGGGCTACACAGAGAAACCCTGTCTCAACACAAACAAATAACCCCTAACCAACAAACCAACCCAAACAAACACACACACTTCTTCATTTGTATTTATGTATTTGTGTGTGTATCTGGGCATGTGTATGCTATAGTGCACTTGTGGGAGTTGGCTCTCTCCCTGTGGGTTGAGGGATCAAAGTTAGGTTGTAGGACTTGATAGCCTTTATCACCATGCGCCACTGATCCTTACTCTGTCTTTTGAGATAAGCTTTTATTATGTTTCCTAAGATTGCCTTAATCTCATGGACTCAAACAATCCTCCTGCCTCAGTATCCCAGCAAATGAGACCACAACTGCATGCCACTGTACCAGGCTCTAGTTACATCTTTTTGCTTTGTCTTCTTTCTTTTTTTTTTTTTTTTTTAAAAAAAGGACCACTCTTTATAGCTCAAGCTCCTTCTGTCTCCAGCATGCTGGGATTATTGATGAGTGGCAGCATGCCTTTCCCCATATGTATGTTTAAACACAAGATTATTTTATTTTTTGAGACTGGGTCTCACTACATAGCTGTGTAGTTCTGGCTGTTCTGAAACTCATTTAATAGACCCGAAGGGCTTCAAACTCAGAGATCTGCCTCCCTTTGCCTTTCAAGTGCTGGGATTAAAGACATGCACCACCAGGCTCAGCTCTGCAGCTGTATCTTTATTGCTATTGTTTTGACAAGTTCCTGTAGCCAAGGTTGGCCTTACACTTACTATATAGCCAAAGATCACCCTGCCTCTATCTCCCAAGTTCTGGGATTACATGCATGCACTACCATGTCATTTTAGTTATATTTTACTTAAGATGTTAACAGCTTCAAGTACTCAAAACCAGTATTAATAACACTTTAACATAGGGATTAAATGTTTGTGATTACCGATAGGTAAACTTGAAATGCATGCAGAAAACATTACCTTGTAACATCGAGGGCTTTCTGAACTTTTGCCTGAACAGAACCAAGCAAATCAGCACCCATTTTTTTCAGCAGCTGTGTCAGCAGCACAAATAGCCAGTCTTGAAGATCATCTTTGTGGACTTGTATGAAATCTACTAGAGTCTCCAGAAACATACTGAACACCTGTAGTTGATAAAGGGGAGAAGTGGGAAGAACAAAGAGCAGATATTGACCTCTACACTCAATTCAATACAGAAACAGATGGGGAGAAAAGAATCTGAGGCACAGCAATTGGCAGCCAAGCAGGGGGGGGGGATCTCTCTTGCTTTTCACTGGACTCGGTGATACAAGAGTGCATCTGCGCTGTTATCCAACTTCTGCAGAAGTTTGACAATTAGCTATTCCATGCAGCACCACTTGGTAAAGAAACTGCCCATAATGGCTGGCACACCTAATGTTATCAGCGATGCCACAGCTTCAGCTAGTTACATTGAGACTCATTCCTAAGGAATGGAGGTGGTGTCCTGTGCTTTTTCAAGGACACTCAGTGTTTAAAAGAATACTGGGTGAATTAGAAAATTACTGAATTTATAGTCACCATCCAGTAGTAGTATCATGATAAAAGGCCTCCGGCTTCACAAAATAACAAATTTCATAAACTTTTTGGTATAAGATTTACTGCCCCAAAAGTAATTTTTACTTGTCTATAGTAACTAAAAGCATAATAAAATCGAGAATAAAAGTATGTATTTAAATTTTAGTTAGATTTTTAAAAATGTTCTTGTGTTGGTGGGATTTATATATTTATTCATTTAGGATTTTTGGGATATGGTTACACTCTCTATAGCCCTGGCTGTCCTAGAACTCACTCTGTAGACCAGGCTGGACTCAAACTTAAGAGAACCCCTGCCTTCTCCGCCAAATGCTGGGATAAAGGTGTGTGCCACCATGCTCAGGTTATGTTGGTAAGTTTTATACTTGGTTCCAAGATTTTATATATATATATGAGTGTGAGAAACTGTGTAATGTGAAAAACTTTCTTAAGGGAAAGATAAACTAGTACGTGATGTCTTATTAAAAATTTTTTGAAAAAGTAACCCTTGATGAGATTTGTTTCTTTGCAAGGAATCAATATTAAACTAGAAGGTCAATATCTAAGTAAAAGGAAAACATTCTTAAGCATCACAGACACGCTATACTAAGACACATCACCATTAAGTCAGGCGAATACAAATCTTGATACTTTAATTCTTTACTCTTTTATGTATGTGTGTGCCACGTGCACACCAGGGGCCCATAGAAGCCAGATGACATGACATGGAATCTGGGTATGGAGTTACAGATGACTGTGAGCTGCCCGATGTAGGTGACGGGACTGGAACCAGGTCCTCTTGAAGGGCAGTCGGTGCTCTTAACTGTTGAGCCCTCTGTTATTTTGAGATGCATCTCTTGTAGCCCAGGTTGGCTTTGAACGTCTTATGTGTTGAAAAATGGTCTGCAAGATGGTCTTGACAACAGGCCGCCAGGATTTCAGGTGTGTAGCACCTCCAATGTTTAACCGCGATACCTCCACACCTCGTTTGTGTGTTTGTTGGGGACTGAACCCAGGGCTCTGCGCACTTTACCAACTGAGGTTCATCTCCTGCTCCATTTACAAAAATCTTCCACCTTTGCTAATTTGAAACTGGGTCATCTTCAATATTTCTGAAATGTTCTTTATGCAGTTGTGATGAACTCTAGTTTTTGCCACTTTCATTAGCAATGAAGTTTTCTCTACTTAGAGTTAGAACTAAGGTTTAACATTTGAAACTTGGTTAAAAAGAAATAAAAATCCACTTTAGTTATTTTCTTAAGAGGGTGTGTGTGTATTTGTGAAAGCAGCAGCTATGACTACTTAAGGGTCCCCAGTGCTCTCTGCTCCCCTACTCATTTACATTCCAGACCCTTGTAACTCCTACGCTTCTCCCAACTAAATCCCCAAAATTTGGTTTCAAAGCTGGCTAAGAGCTTCACTTAAACTCTTTTGGACTTTCTCATCTGGGCCTGAAAGATTGTAAAAGAATTTTTTTTAGACCTGGTCTGTGGCAACTGCGTGTATCTAACCTGGCACCCTTCTCCTGGTGCTGTCTGGCAGTACACTAGGGCTGGTTTTGTCTTCCTCAACAAGTCACATGTTATAGAATCAGGGGGTGGTGGAGGTGACTGAATTTTTAGAGGGTGCCTCAAAGCTGCTGGTCACTTGAAAACAGCCACAGTAGCATCACAGAAATCAACACAGTACAAGGAGGGGCTTCTTTCTCTTCAGGGCTGCTGCTTCCTTGCATCCATCCTTCCTTCCTTCCTTCCTTCCTTCCTTCCTTCCTTCCTTCCTTCCTTCCTTCCTCCCTCCCTCCCTCCCTCCCTCCCTCCCTCCTTCCTTCCACTTCTTTACTGGCTCGCAACTACTTCTTTCTGAATCACTTTTACTCTAGTTACAACTGTTTCCACATGAAAACCTGTCCTGAAAATCTTAAGCCATTTGGAAAGTCACAGAATTTCATGTTCCACAATGTGCCAATGGTTGTCTGGGTTTTGGCTGTGCTGTAACCACACCGTTACTACAGTTTCACTTTTCAGTGCCTTGCTTGGGAAACTGACTTCCTCTACACTTCATGTTCTAATGAGCCTCCCTAAGCAGCCTGATTTTACTCCTTCCTAAAGCCAATCCTCCTGTTGAGTATCTTGTTCTTGGGGCATCTCTGCTACCTGACTCCCTACCTGACCCTCTGCTTACACTTCAGTGCAGTGTGTCCGGGCTTTCTCTAAGTTAATGCTGCTTTCTTCAATGTCCCCTCTTTCCTTCTTTCTTGTCAGGGATTTTCCTACTGGGTCTCTCTCACTAGGCCCCAGTCTCCCACAAACAGCACCTTTGGCCTTCCCAAAGCTTGCTTACCTACTGCTGTATGTACAAAGCCCTTTGACCTTCAGGCCCGACTTTACTCATTTCCTGTATAACAGGATCACCAAGTCATTTCTATAGCAGGCCAGATAATAACTGTCTGAGACCCTACAAGCCATAGGTCTAGCAACCACACAGAACTGTCATTGCACCATGGCCACAGACATAAAATTAGTACAACTGTGTTTCAAAACAACTGTACTTTTCTCAAACCAGACCTTGGACAAATTTAGCCTCCAGGCTGTGGTTGTAGACTCACGCTTTTTTTTTTTTTTAAACATACCATCACTGGAACGTCATTTTGATAGAAATAAAACCCTTACATATTCTCAGTTAGTGGGAACCCTCAGACCTTATTAAGTTCTACACCTCTCCAAACTGGCCTGAGAGCATCTGGCAACGTGAACTCTGTCTTCCCTTTCATACATATTTCATAAAATTCCCAATTTCCCACAGTTCCCTTATCTTTTGCCCCTTATGCACAGCATGTGAATCTCAAAAGGTATATCAAGAAGCTGCTTAGGCTAATTTACATCATAGCCATTCATTATTCCTACCTGAAACTTTTTCTTATATGTTTGTTTGAGATAGGGTCCTATTGCATAGCCTTGGCTGGCTTGGAACTCACTAAGGTTGGTCTTGAACTCACAGACAACCATTTGCTTTTGTCTCCCAAGTGCTGGGATTAAAGGCACGTGCCACTATCTATTTGGAACTTGTAATGTGACTAGCTATGCATGCTACTACTTAAAACTTTTCTTAAATTCTATTACCACTCTACCCAGAATATTTATGTGTATTTTATGTATCTCTGGGATACAGTCTCACCATGTATTCCAGGGTGACTTTGAACTCATGATACTCTGGATTCAACCTATTTAGTGTTGAGATTAAAGACAGGTGTTACTAGGCTCACCCCAAGGCTCTGTCATTTGTATGTACATCCACATGAGTAAACATGGATGTACCTATATTTAAAGGCCAGAGGTCACCCTTGGGTGTAATTTTTTAGGTATTGTTCATCTTACTTTAGAGACACATTCTCTGGCCTGGAGCCTACCAAAAAGGCTGTCTGGTCAGAAGACCTGCCTGCCTCTGTGTCTCTGGCACTAACAGTGCAACTGTGCATTGCCTGACTCAGCTTTTTAAAAGTGTGGGTTCTGGGACTGAACACAGGCCCTTCTTATACATACATAGCAAGCAAGCATTTACCAACTGAGCTAACTCACATAGCAAGCAAGCATTTACCAACTGAGCTAACTCTCTATTGCCAAGACTGGATCTTATCATGTAGCCCAGGATGGCCTCAACTTCATTGCAATCTTCCTGACTCTAGATAACTTCACAGTCTACACTTCCATTTCACCTAAGATTCCTTCCAGAGACTTCTCTGAATGCCTCAGATAGGAAGTTCTTCTGGTTAGGTAGAATGTTAAGTAACATAATTAAAATACAGAGATATGACTTATAGCCCACTGCCTACAGAACTGTATTACTTGACAACATGTATTTCAACCCATCACTGGCAATATTGACTACATGTATGCATATACACACACATATATGTATAACCACAGCCATAATAGGTTGGAAACAATACACAACCTTTTGCAAGTAATTTCTGTATCACAGAGAATTCATTTGTGTGTCAGATCAGAAGGCAATCAATATTCTCTCCTTTCCTCACTCCCGAGTAAAGGTGAAATGTATGTTAATACAACACAAAGACTGCAAATTGTATTTCACAAGTTGAAGTTTAGAAGTAGTGGTTTATAACCATTGCTTACTTTCACAGAATGGTACTAATAGAGTATTACAGAGTACATGGAGGGTGGTAGAAGGTAAAATTGTATATATATTCTCAAAAATCCTGAAGCTTGGGAATTATTTTAAACCTCCAATGAATCAATCTGATATGGAATTATTCAGGAAAGAATCAAATACTGGCCTATTACAATTGAGGCAGACTCTTATATAAACCTGTTTTATTTTAGGTGTGCCAGCCATCAAATTTGAAACAGAAGATCATAAATCAAATTAGATCAATTAGTAGATTAAAAAAGCACATCTCCAAACAGAATGACAGTTTGCGTAACTGCGAATAGCATGTCGTGAATTGCAAAGGGTCCAACACTGCATGAACTCTTCAGGAGAGAAAAACAGAGAAAATGGGTTAATTCCACAGTCATGCAGTAAAGTTAGCTTTTCAACAAATATTGAACCAACTTACTCTCTATTGAGAGTT